TTTGCTTTCATGGGTTTTGCTTAAAGTCCAGGTCTGGCACTGATAACAACCTTAGTGACCCCTGTAAATTCGAGGACCCCGGCGATCTCAGTAGCCCCAATGACCCCAATGACCCCAATGACCCCAATGACCCCAGAGACCAAGTGACCCAAGTGACCCCTGTGACCCCTGTGACCTCAGTGCACCTGATGACCTCAGTGACCCCACAGTGACGTCGTTGATCCAGTGAACCAATGACCCTTGTGACACAGGCGACCATTGTGACCCCAGTGACCCCACATACATGACCTCAGGCTCACCCGGCAGTTCATACACGTTGGACACTGGGCGACTATCTGGCCTGATCACCCGTTGGTACACGTTCGAATCTTCCTGAGGGGCGGGGGGAGGCTGAGGAGGGGACGGTCTGGAAAACATTTCGTATTGTACCACCTGAAAGTGAATGGAAGAAGAGACTGGTATTGTTCAAGTGGATGGAAGAAGAGACTGGTATTGTTACAGAAGAGACTGGTATTGTTTCAGTGAATGGAAGAAGAGACTGGTATTGTTACAGTGAATGGAAGAAGAGACTGGTATTGTTACAGAAGAGACTGGTATTGTTACAGTGAATGGAAGAAGAGACTGGTATTGTTACAGTGAATGGAAGAAAAGACTGGCATTGTTACAGTGAATGGAAGAAGAGACTGGTATTGTTACAGTGAATGGAAGAAGAGACTGGTATTGTTACAGAAGAGACTGGTATTGTTACAGTGAATGGAAGAAAAGACTGGCATTGTTACAGTGAATGGAAGAAGAGACTGGCATTGTTACAGTGAATGGAAGAAGAGACTGGCATTGTTACAGTGAATGGAAGAAGAGACTGGTATTGTTACAGTGGATGGAAGAAGAGACTGGTATTGTTACAGAAGAGACAGGTATTGTTACAGTGGATGGAAGAAGAGACTAGCATTGTTACAGTGAATGGAAGAAAAGACTAGCATTGTTACAGTGAATGGAAGAAGAGACTGGTATTGTTACAGTGGATGGAAGAAGAGACTGGTATTGTTACAGAAGAGACAGGTATTGTTACAGTGGATGGAAGAAGAGACTGGTATTGTGGGACCTGATGGAAAAAGAGAAATCACGGTTGTCAATTGTCTGCTAGATGCTTCCAAGCCCCAAAGCAAACATTTCCATGGGAGAGAAAAACCTGTTTCAGTTCTTGGACAAATTGTAGTTACCTTAGGAATCTTTGCTTGCTGTTCTTTTCCCAACATTTTAAATTTGAACTTTGACCTAATATTTCACGAATATTTATATGCAGCCGAAACTGATTTTTTTTAAAGTCAAATTTTGTGATATGAACAATGAATGTATAAATAGAAATTCAAGCTCTGTCTGTCTGTCTGTCTGTCTGTCTGTCTGTCTGTCTGTCTGTCTGTCTGTCTGTCTGTCTGTCTGTCTGTTTGTCTGTCTGTCTGTCTATCAGAAAGGAAAAATGATACGCACCTCTGGATGAAAGCCTGAAATATGAGAACAATAGACAAATTACCATCCTGTCTTTGAAAAACCAGCCTTTCTCGACTTTATTTCAATCTTTACTGCCCATCAACTAAAAAATGATAACAACAAGAACAACAACAACAAGAAGAACAATTTTCCTAATTTTAGTAATAACAATAATAATAAAAAATAACCCTTGTACCGTAATGTATGGTTAGGTATGGAGTAGGTACTGTACATCCCAGCAGATAGTCAGAGGGATACAGTATCCCAACAGATAGACAGAGGGAAACAGGGATACAACACCCCAGCAGACAGACAGAGGGATACAGTATCCCAGCAGACAGACAGAGTGATAAAACATCCTAGCAGACAGAGAGAGAGGGGGATACAGTATCCCAGCAGACAAACAGAGTAATAAAACATCTCAGCAGACAGACAGAGGGATACAGTATCCCAACAGATAGACAGAGGGAAACAGGGATACAACACCCCAGCAGACAGGCAGAGGGATACAGTATCCCAACAGACAGACAGAGTAATAAAACATCCCAGCAGACAGACAGAGGGATACAGTATCCCAACAGATAGACAGAGGGAAACAGGGATACAACACCCCAGCAGACAGACAGAGGGATACAGTATCCCAGCAGACAGACAGAGTGATAAAACATCCTAGCAGACAGAGAGAGAGAGGGATACAGTATCCCAGCAGACAAACAGAGTAATAAAACATCCCAGCAGACAGACAGAGGGATACAGTATCCCAGCAGACAGACAGAGTGATAAAACATCCTAGCAGACAGAGA